GTTCAAATAAAAACAGTCCTCACGCTGTTTTGCATGCTGCTTCGATCCCCATTGTGGTTTAGAGAAGCGCGGAACAATGTGAACTATGTCTACAATAGTGTCGGTCGAAACGACGCTACTGTGTTGATGTCCATTCAACTTCTCCCATTTAAATTTCTTGCAACCTGTCATGTGTTGCCGTTCACTATCGACCTCCTTATACCATTGCACAAATCCGCAGCTGTGTTCCATATTACCGCTGTCCGCGGGTCCGTCCACGACAAAAAACATGGCTATTGATGCAAACCATGTGCATTCGTTGCCTACTCCAATTGCGACGTCACTGTGCACTGGTCTCCCATGGAACTGTGGCGACGCTCTTGCAGTTTGAACAAGTGTGCCCCTGTTTGTTTCGTCCTGTACACAAGCGATGGCCAGGTGTGTCTGTGTGTGTATAAGCAGGTCGTCAGAAGGAGGTTGACAACTATTCTCCACCGTGTATGTCGTAAGCGCAGCTCGAAAATCACGTCTGCAAGGAAGTTCTTCGAGTATCTTACACGCATGGTTGTCAATGCCTTCTCCCTCGCGTCTGTACTCGTCATCGATGTCGAACCACCGCAGTTGCAGCATTGTCGTATCTCGTAGTGCAAGGGTGTTCATTCTGGTGGCCATACAGTCTGTCACGGACGACCGGTTCTCAACCGTTCTCTTCCTCCGTTTCCTCACGATCCCGATCTCTTCGCCCAACGCAAATGACCAGCGCACATGGTTTACCATCTGGGTGGAAGCTTTTCGGTTATTTGATGACAGGTATGGCTGTTTGCAGAATTTTCTGTGGTGATGCTCTCAAACATCTGTCACGAAGGTGTCGGGGACACCGGATCGCTCAATACACGTTGTCAGATGCATGAGATCGTGCAACTTGGGGAGTTTCCATGTTGATGGTTGATATTTTCCCAATTTTCCTTTGATGGTCGTTACGAAGTCCGTGATCAAAGCGTCGCATTCATCGAGTGAAGCACGACTGTGTGTTGTACACCGAAACACTCGTATGTACATTTCCATCAGTTTCACAAAACAAATGGTAATGCCCTTGCCTGTCGAGCGCGGTATAATATTAGAAATAAGGAACACGCACACTGTCATCACAAACCGGTTTTGTTTCGCCTCGAACCGTCCCTCCCTCGAAAAAAAGTCGCTGTCAGTGGTCACCGGCAACACAAGTAGGGGGTATGTTCGCCTGCATCTCTCACTAACGCTTTGCAACCTTGCATCTAGTTCCTTCAAGATCTCTGTTTGCGGTAAGTGCGGCAACTTCTCGAAGGCTGCGGTCCTAAATACGTCAATCATGTGCAGGAATATGCCGTGCTCGATTGTGTGCATACGGTCTGGTTGCAATGCCAGGTGGTAGTCTAGCTGAGGATCGTCACCATTGCGGCCCCTGTAGAACCCCCAAAGACCGTTCTGTTGAACATGCCTATGCATGTTCAACTCCGACATTCGTGTTTCCGCTGCACAGCTAACTTCGATGTCGTCGGCGGTGAACACATCTGCTATGAGGTGTGTTTCCAACGTCTGTGATCTCCTACAGTTTGTGAAATCGGCTATGACATCGAAATCGTTTTTGGACACGGTGCATGTCGGACATACACCAAACTTCACAGTTGCAATCGCACATCGTTCTGGTTAGTCCTGGATATAGCTGAGGAGGAAAGGGTGGACAGTTATGTCCCCGAATCGCGTTGTCGGTATAATTATTCCGTCATGAGATGCCTCCTTCGCAGACTGCAACACCACTGAAAGGGCCTTGTGCAAAATGATGGTCTTTCACTTTCTGAATGCGGTGGACTGCAGACCCCATCCTTTGTCATGAGGACGATGATGAAGCACAGAAAGATAGGCCAGCAGTGTGGCTTCGGATGCGTGGTCCGCTAGTGATATCATCAGAGGGTACGCCGTCTGTTTTTGACGACCGTCTGTATGTGTCTTGTCGGAATACAATGATTACCATTCTCGTCCACGCCTTTGTCCGCTCGAATGATCGACTGGATGTGATAACTTAGCGCCCCGCTGCGTGGGTTGGATATACTGAGGTGCTCTGACGGCGGAGACACTTCTAGAGAAGACACCGTCTCGCATTTCTGTAGTGCGATATGAAAAATCGACAGAAATGTCGTTCGCTAGTCGCGGTGCCACAAGATGGCGTGCGCATCTCGTGGCCAATCGTCACAACGTAGATCCAACTTTTTCCATCCAGCAGCGTCTGCTAGACTCCCTGCCCATGTCAAACACTCTCGACTATTACGATACGCGATGTCTCTCGTGCAGAATCTCGGGTCCGTGAGAAGTGACAAGAGAGCATCTATGTCACTCTGCGACATACTGACGTTGCCCCTGGCGCCCCTGGCGAAGAAAATCAGTGCCGCCAACTTGCGAGAGCTGTCAAAAGATTCAACAGGCTGCGGTTGCTGCTCTTCGAATGTCCCGCTCTTCCCGTCTACATTCTCGGGGGCCCCGACGTCCTCACTCTCATCGCTCACGAGATTCACTGCACCTATACTTAATGCTCCTGCGTCATCGACCACACCCATCTCCTGGCCATGTGTTCTTTCGTCCGCCACGGCCGGGTATGCCCTCGCACGATGTGAGTTCAAAGTTCGTAATGACATGAAAGGTCTGCCACACTCGCACACTCGTGGACCGCTGTCCTTTTTCTGTGCACGCAGTGCATTCCAAAAATAAACAGAGCGGTGCGGACAGTGTTTTCATTAGCATTTTGTACATTGCGTCAGGTCGTTAGAATTATAAGTTGCAGAGCATATTTTGTTATATTGTGTAAGTGTTGCACATCCTCTTCTCTGTGAGAAAGAGATAGAGAGGGAGTAGTGATTGTCGTTTTTGGTACGAATGGTCTGTGTCGCTGATCCCAATTGACAAAGATTAGTAGTCAACCGTGCGACACGATAATTTATATGCCATGACAAGTTCTATGGTCGTGTAGGAAGAGGCAACGACTTACGCATGGTACACGATATATGACACAACATTCATCATCACGGTTTTGTGGCTCGCCAAGTTCGTAACTATCCATCCACGACGTTTGTGAATGTGGTATATGTTTTCCATGTCCGCGTGAAAATGACTGCACCTCGGCACCTCAGCCGACCTCCGCACAAACTTCCAAAACATTTCACAACCTACTACATTTGAATTTAAATTACAGAGAATGCAAAAAAAAACACAACATACACACATTGGTCATCACAGGGGGTCTGATGTGTCTCACGTACTCCAAAAGGTAACAAATGATAACATACATCGTAACAATCATTAAATGATTGAAATATTGTTCAATCCTGTGTCTGCACGGTGTAGTGAACCGCATGTACTTGGAGAGGCAAACAACAGGCAGCATTAAATGTAACCCGCAGATGGATGTAGAGGTTCTAATATAGCTACAACTCGACATATGAGAAAGAGAGAGAACAAAATATATATATATATATATATATATATATATATATATATATGTGTGTGTGTGTGTGTGTGTGTGTGTGTGTGTGTGTGTGTGTGTGTGTAGAGAGAGAGAGAGAGAGAGGTTCACTAGTGCGGGCCAAAACGACAACAAATAGCACCGGTGGACACTGATATGGCACGCAGTAGTGAACCCGACCGTCGTTGAAATTGAGGCAGACATACAGGGATGTACAGGTTGAGGGATGCATGTCTGTCATCATCCCTGATGTCTAACATGGTCTGTCTTGGTGTGTGGGTGTCTCCGATCGCTGTCGTGGCCGAGCACTAACTATTGCGTCTCCTGTTGACAAGTCGGGGTGCAATGTCTCTCCCCAAGCTGTCGCTATTGCGCCGTGTATGAGGCAACTCAGGTTGACTCCCCATGTCAGTGACGTTGCTAGCACAACCTCTCTATTGACCAGAACAAACCATCCCTTGCCAACACGTGACCACTTTTTCCCCTTGTTGCATGATTTCATTATGCTGGTCATTGCGGTATACTGTAGTGCACCATCTCGTGTTGCCCCCTTCATCACAACACGCAACACTTTGTGCGGATCGGGGAAAGCACGTGCCAACCTCAGAATTGCATGTGCCCACCCTTTTGTCACTTGTCCACCCGCAGCCTTCAAATCATAGTATACATCATGTTCCTCGTCTTCGTCGTCGCTGCTGACATCGCTGCCGCTCACGTCCACGTCAGAAAATGATGCCCCCTCATCCTCTTCTTCATCTTCTTCTTCTGCACTGTCTGTGTACTCTGCACAACAACTTGCCAAATCGGCCTCTTCAAATCCACGATCACACTGTTTTTTCTCCATTGTGAAAGCATTGAAGATATCGCAACAGACTAGTTGCTCTCTCGTTGCTGTCTGCATGGGAGACACATCGACTGCCATACTGGTTATTGATTCTTGTGCTGCTGATGTCTGTCCGTTGTCTGGAATGATTGCTAAATTTGTTTCCGTGGCCATCACCTTCCACCCTTCTTCTTTTTCTCTTTGTCTCTCAACATCGCAGCTTGGAAGACCGAGCTGCTCCAAAGCAGCTGATAACAACTCCCCCCACAACGGTCTGCCAGATATGATGTTGTCTTCTATTATTGTTGGCATAAATTCTATCAGATCTTGACCCTGCAGTGCAAACTTTGTCACTTTGTGCAACGCCTCATGGATGACGTTCCTGTCGTCGTCACTCTTTTTCATGAAGTCCACAAGTTGATCCAGCAGAATATATTCCACACCATCTGTGACAATGACAGGAACATCTTGAAAGTCTTCTGGTGGTGTTTGTGTAATGTCCTTCATTCTGGACAACACCAATATTTCTGCAGCACCACTCTTCAACTCGTCCTTCGACCCATCAACCAGCATTCCCCCATTTCGTGCGACAGTGCCCAGCAACTTGCCCAAGTTTGCAGGTGTATATATCCCCCTGCCTGCTGCATTGTCATGTCCACGTCTCCTTCCTCGCACATCCCTTCGCTGCAGATCCACTGAACCACTCCTTTTAGACTGTGTGCATTGTCTTCCACATCGCTGTCCACACGTACATGTGGTGACTCTCTGAAGCGTTGCAAGAGTGTTCGTGCTTTGACACAACCCTCGCCGTTTGCCATGATTGTGGATCTCATATCCACAGCGACTATGAAGTACCTCGGCACCCTGTCCTGAAGCAAAGACAACTCGTTGTCATCGTTGTAGTGAACGCCCTCCTTTGCATACTTCATTACCTCTGCAAGAGCACCCTCCACCTGTGCTACTGACATCGACATGATGTGTACGGTTTGTCTTTCGTCCTCTTCTCTCTGTCAGCGGAAACACACAATGACGTCATCGACATGTGTGTGTGTGTGTGTGTGTGTGTGTGTGTGTGTGGCGTCTATGTATGAACCTATGTGGATGTCTGTGTGTTTTTGTGTGTATGTCTATGGATGTCTGTGTGTATGAATGGTCTGTGCGTGTGTCTGCGTGTTTGTTCCTAAGTTGGCTACTGCATGTCATTCGAAGTCGCAACGGTAATCATTCGTCAGTTTCTGGCACGCAGTAGCCAACTTTAAGGGTGCATGTCAGAATGTGTGTGTGTGTGTGTGTGTGTGTGTGTGTGTGTGTGTGTGTGTGTGTGTGTGCATTTGTTATGCGTGTTTGCTTGTGCATGTGTTAGCGTGTCC